TGCTCAGCAGTCCCCCCAGCTGAATTATTTGAACAGTAAAACTACATGCCTACCTTTGCATGGGCGCTTCAAAGGTGGAAAATGCATCGTATACTAACTTAGCTTCTGAAGAAAAGGAATCCAATTGTGCAGAAGAAATTACAGCACTGAGTAAAGGAAAAGATAAGGGAAAAGTCTTTATGGGCCAGTGAAGCTCATTACACCTTGACTGCAAAAAGCAGGACCTCTGGGATTGTGTTTTTGCCTCTTGTTGTGGTGCCAAGTCAGGGAACGCACCTACAGGACTAATATCAGTCGGTCACTGGCTGTCATAAATCCAAAATATGCAACTTAAACTTGAACATCTGTACATTGCTAATTAAAATATACAATTACCATGCAAAGCTCAATGGTATGAGGAAGAAATATATCTTGGTGTTCCTCATTAAGGTCCAAGGTGAAGTCTAAGACATGCTGATAGTTTTAATTGTGGTATAATTTTGCCTGGGGATGACGTATATATTTATAATGTGGTGATGCACAATGCCTTTCAGAAGGGGGAATACATACTTAATGGTATCTGCATCCTCCATTGTGGATAGATGGTTAGCTTTTTTATCTATCTGAGGTGACAGTATCTTTTCAGGACATGTGGAGCAAAAGAAAATACTATATTTTCATTATTACTGCCTCACTACTGTAGTGTTACTGCTGAATCTGATTGAAAATAGTAAAAGTAGATGAATGTGGAATGGGTGGGAGAGGAAATGAGGTAACTGACAGAGTCAATCGTTGACATAGTCTAAAACTTTAAATTTATGGCTCCTGGAGCCCCAAATGCCATCTCTGGAAGGAGTGAATAAGGTCTTTCAGTGGAGCTGTGCTGGTTACCCTGGATCCTACAGGCTTGAGGGCTTCTGGAAATGTTTCCTGTTTTGGTGTTGTGAGGGTGCCTGTAACTCATGATTAGGTTTCCAGATCGCTTTGTCCATGTTCATGTTTGGGAGAAATCTGAGAACAAAAAACAAGTGCTCCATCATCTTTTGTTTTTCACTTGAAATGTTTTTATAGAAACCAAAAGAGTCTGCTGGACTTCTTTGAGGAATGAAATAGGATAGCATGAAGAAATAACGTGTTTTTAATGTTTGTTTGTTTTACAGAAGATAAAGATGACCGATATCACTTGTTTTCATTTGGAAGTCACTTTCCATTAGAGCCACTCTTATTTCAGTGTCTAATTTACCCATACACAGCAACTTCAGTTGTGAAATTCAGTCATGTAAAATATGCCGTTTGTATTCAGGCTGCACAAATATTACAGCTTTTTGTAGATTTTTCTTTCTTAACAGCTTTTAATATGAATTTTCACAGTCTTCCACCAGGGCAGTCTGTTGTTTTCTCTTCTTTATATTCCATTTTTCACTCCGGTTGCCTCACTGCCTCATGCAGACCTTAAAACACATGCTATTCTTATTTACCTTGGGTTGTAGTTTGTGTCTTTTTTCCCCCACCCCCAGCCAGGAAGCTAAAAACAGGGTGTGCTTTTAAAAAGCAGGAAAGTAGCTTTAAGTACCTTGATGGCTGTAAGATCTTCTATTTAAAAAAAAAAAAAAAAAAAAAAAAAGCATGATTTCCTTGGACACTGTCCAAAGTTGTGGCTTTGAAAAATGATAATTTTAGAGTCCCTGTCCCAGTCTAGAAGCGAAGCTTCATCTAACAACACAAGCAAGGACTTCCTTTCTTCCTCTCCTCCCCTCCCCACTGTGACTTACAAATAGCATTTTTCCTGTAGGATAAATAACTTCACTAAAATAGATATATAAACCCTCTGTAAACCTCAGTCTGTTTATAGCTGAAATCCAACTGTTATTTTGCAGCTGGGCTCTGCATTGTATACTGAACCTCACAGAAGGTTGTTAGCTTCTCTGAGATCTTAGTTTGGTGCGTTTGTTCCTTTTGAACAAGAAATCAGCCTTATTCCTGATCTTTCTCCATGCTCATTTCTACACGTGATAGGTATGGTGAGGCTCATTAAAAACACTATGGCAGAGGTTCCTGGGAAGGTGGCGTGAGTCCTGCTAGCATGCCTCTGCTGCTTCCCTGCCCTTGTGGAGCAGAGGAAGCAATTACAAGCGGGGTGAGCCAGAGGCTGGAAATCATGTCAGATGAGAGAGGCTTGGTGGCACTCGGCCACGGCGTAACAACAGTGAGGCGTGCACGTCCCCAGGCTACGTCTCCAGCGGTCAAGGTCATCGGCCACATGCTCGGTAATGGAGCCCATGAGGAGTACCAGGTTCCCTACTGGCCTTCCTTTGTGGCTTATTACTTGCATCATTCGAGGCAGATAGGAAAGCCTGTAAAATGATGCTTGTGCTGCTTGGTCCCATTTTACTGCAGACACAGAGAAGGGTTTGGCCAAACAGTGCCAGTCCCTGGAGCACTCCTGACCTGTGAAGGGAGCTGGGGCCTTCAGGTGCTGAGATAATAGATACCAAAGCAAAGCTCCATGGATTGCCATTATATTCCCACTCTATTAACCCCTGTTGCTTTGCTTTTTAGATTTCTGAGGTCAAGGGGGGGGGAGGGGGACGGGGGGGGGGGGGGAGAGGAAAAAAAAATAAAAGGGAGAGACAAGATTTTTGCAGGATGTTGGATGTTTTGTGGGTGAATTCAGGACAAAGCTGGTATCTTCATTTCATAATAAGCTGTGATTTCCAAACTATGGGTCATGGTCATAACAAGTTCATGATTTTTGAAGGTGATGTTTCATGCCTAGAAGCACTGGCAAGAAACACATTTACAAAGCAAAAATTTGGGGAAGCAGTCCTCTCTTTATTTTGCCAGAGCTACTCTTAGGTGCTGACCACAAGAAAGCGAAGAGTTGTGGAGACAACTGGAAAATTATGTTGCCCTTCCAGTTCAGGTCTTGTTGTCAGAATATGCAAGACTCAACAAGATTAGAGCAGTTTTGCCCTTTAATTTAAACAGATGCAAGTGGGAGTCACTAGTAGATTTGCATCATAACTCTGGTTCAACCCTGAGTCATGGGATTATTTCATTCTGCTATATTCATTTTTGATGAACCACTTTGCTCCTTGTTTGTTAGGGAGGGTTAAGCACTAATTCCTCAATGAAATACTTCTCCCCTGTTGAAACTTGAATGGGATATTTTCCAGGATGCAATCTCAGAAACCACCCTTGGCACAATAGCTGTGCCAGAAATGCCTCACCAGGAAAGCAGATTGCCTGGGGGTGGGGAACATTAACGAAACGGGGAGGGGGGGCTTTTTGAGGACTACTTATATTTCGATCTTCCTTCTCTTGTGACATCAGTCAAAATTTTTCACACTGAATGAAGTCAGATGTCACATATTTCTTTGAACCAAGCCATTAAAATTCCCAGCTCTTGCTCAAGCAGTAGACGAGACTCATTCCTCCTTTCTGCTGAGGCAGTTTGACTATTTCACGTGGTAGAAAGAGTTATTCAGCTCATGGCTTTCCTATCTGTGAACAGCAGACAGGACCTTATCTGCCTGTCTGTTGAAGCAACCCCAGGACAAGGTGCTGACTGTGGATTTTTACAGGAACCTGTGTGTTCAGATGCCTAAAGGGCAAATTGGGCATGAGCGCAGAAATGGAGTGCCTCACCCACACGTGCTGAGGAGTTGGCCCAAAGCATCTGCAGAAAACAAGCCATCTGCACAGTTCCAGGCTGCAGCTGCTATAGCATCATAGCAAAACACTAAATTGGAACTTAAGAATGAGGGGTAGGGACTAATGCAGTGCATAAAGGAGCCACAGGTGAGCTGAGAGATGTAGAGAGGCTTTTAATTCAAAAACCTCCTTGAGATCTGTAAGATGTTTCCGTAACTCCAAACTTTTAATATAGAGAAACGTTTATCCCAGGATGGAAAACAGAAAATACAGTTACTTGTAGGCTTGACTGTGGCTGCTCATGCAAATGGAGAAATGGATTTATTTTTTCAAGTCAGTGTACTTAACCCAGAGTAGATTTAAAATGTAGAAAGAAAGGAAAATAAGACCATCTTAGCCTGGTACCGATTTCCTTTTACATTTTACCTATGTTTAAATCTGTGTTTCTTTCTTTCCTAGAAATGTGATCCTCCCCAAAGTAGATTATGTAGCTATAGAAGCAAGACTGCACTGCTCTTGGAAAAATCTGCATGCCTTTGTGCTTACATTTCTTCGCTTTTGCGTCTGAGCTGAGCCCCTGACAATTGAAAATATTTAAAGAAGGAAAACTAAACTCCAGTGAATGTGAAAGGCATTTGCACAAAAATACAAGCTGCCTTCCATTGGTCTTAATAGAAAATCCTTAAAAGAATTGCATATGCTATATCGATAAATACAACTCCTCATTCCCTCTATGCTCGTGCGCTAGTTCTGAAAGTCTTTGTTTCTATTTTTGTCTCCTCACTCTTTATCCAAATAAAGATCTGTAAGTAAGTAAGTTTTCTGTCTGTCTAAGCTCAGCAGCTACGTGGTCACATCTCCTCCATATCATTTTTCCTGTGAACTTTCAGTTCCTTCTCCTTCGCTTGGAATAAAATCAAGCACTCTGTTAATGGCCAGGACTCTGCAGCAGGAAGACCCTACCACATTTCCTCGGGGCCTGTGCATGCATGAGGTGAAATGCTATCGGTCTCGTGGAACTGTGATGAGTAACTTCAGAGTCACTCTCCTATAATAGAAACTTAGTTTAAGAGGAGAAAAAAAGTGCTGGTGTGCCTCAGTGCTTTCCAAAGCCTGTTTTTGCCATGTAAAGTCAATTGGCTGTAAGCTGTGGGCCCAGCTTGGCTTCAAAGAGTGCCTGGCTCTCCATTCACAAACTAAATGCTCTAGAGAGCTGCCAAATTGGGGAGATTATTCTGTCTCGTTTTCTGGCAAGCCGCGGCTGCGTGTATCACTTCATTTATATGCTAATTGAGGCCAAGCCTCCAAATAGACTCCATACAATATCTGTGACTTGGCTCCCTCTCTATGATTATTCTGCCTTCCAGCAGCTACAGTGTGTGCTCTGAGCCGGAGGAGATTTAGTAATGTCTTCATCTACCAAGTCCCAAATCCTGGCCCCAGCTTTCGGAAACTGACAGCTGAACCAGAGCAGTGCAGCTCACTTGCATGAAGGATTGCCGTGCTGCTGTGAAGGTGAGCTCACAACATTTGTTGATGGTAACTCTCTCCCTGTTCCAGCTTTAAGGAGATGCTGATGTTTCTCGTGCCAGCTGGTGTAGTAAGAGGTTGCAGAGGGCATGGGTAATTACAGGGATGATGTGTTGATGAGGTAAAGCAGCCAGTTCTGTTAGCTCCTCTCTTCTGCTGGCTTGTGTGTGATTGAATGGCAAAAGCTCCCTTTGCTCAATTTTCTGTCCTCTTTTTAAAGCTCAGTGAACATCCCTGCACTGTCAGTCATTCCTTGAGGAGCACTATGTAGTTACAGAAAGAGCAGGTACAAAGTTGAGGATGAATTTTTCAGCAAATGGGATGCTTGCTGCGGGCTGAATTCACCAAATGTTTCACCAAAGGCTGTTGAATGTAGGGTGGGAAACATATGTGCTTGTGGTACAAAATCTTTGATTTTTTTCAGAAGGAAGCTTTAGTACCTCCTGCTTAAAGCAGGGATGTGACAATGGCTTATGAGCATTTCTTATCATTAACCCCAGGGATCAGAGCTCTCTGCTAAATTCTGAAACTTCCTTATGATATCATTTCCATACTTCTTTGAACTTTCTGTTAGAAATCTATCAAGGTGTGTTTTAAAATATCTTGTTAAAAGAGAACTGAGCAGTTGGAATTTAGGAAGTTCCCAGCTGGCAGTCACCTGTACAAACCCTTTGCAGACCTGCACTGCAGCACAAGCTGTTACGGCAGCTTGTATGTGGGAGCACAGAGTTACAATATGCCTAACTTTTGATTACCCAGTGAAAAAACGGGATGTCACAGTCCTGGTCCAGGTGCCCAAACAGGTGCTTCATAGTCTACCGGAGAGCAAGAATGGCCAAGGAAAAGCAGTTGACATGAACATGACAAAAATTCCTGTGCTCTCCCAGGCCAGGTGCATGCTCACAGCTTTGAAATAAGGAATGATTTGCAATTGGGATTCGTGACTTGGGCTCAGGCACCTACATTGTCTGTTTGTACATGGGGGATTTGCTGTTCTTCTCTGAGTTGTGGCAATGCCCACCTCTCCTCCAGGAAGTGAGGGGTATCAGCTCAGTGGGAGTTTCCTGCCTGAGGCAGTTCAAATTTACGCTTTGTGTGCTGGGTAATTGGTTTATCCAGGGCACAAGCTGGCACGGAGACACCCCGCGCCTCACCTGTTGACGTGGCCAGGAAAGGAAGGAGGACTCATGAAGCCACAGGCAGACAAAGCAAGAGGGAGCAAAACTCTTTTGCCCAACAATGAGGCAATTTCCTGGGATGGACCAGTTGTGGGATCTGCTACTTCCCAGAAGTGCTTGAGCACTTTTGTAATCGGCTCATCACTCATCAGAGGAACCTTCCATGGGATTTCCGAAGCCTGCCCCTGCATTCACTGTACTTTGTTACCGGGAACACTGTACTTTTTTACAGGGAACAGCTGCCTCAGGGTTATGACCTGTTGGCTGGCAAAAATAGGTGCCAGGTGAGGTTCCTGCCAGGGCATGACTGCCAGGCTGAAGAAATGCCTCTGCCCTTGTGCAAGGAAGTGGCTCATTTATTTCCATGACACTCTGTTCCTTTGTGTGCTCCATGGAGCAGGTTTTGGCAAGCAGCGTTCACGCAAGTCTCTCTGTTTTAAGTGGAAAAGCTCCAAAGCTGATAAATTTCCTGTGTCAGAGAAAGGACATCTCTGTTCTAGGCCAGGATGCTATCGTGAGCATCCTGTTGCTCTTAGTGCTGCAGTTCTGTTACTACTGGAGTACGATGCTCACTCCTTAGAAGATCTGGAAGTTTTAAAAATTGTTAATTTCTTTATGGAGTGAAAGGAACTGTCTGAAATGCTGTTATTTTTACATTTATATTTTTCTTGTCAATCCTATTGTCTCTACTTGGACTCTAACGGGATGTTTTAATTTGAGAATGTTTGTGTCTGTGGTATCAGACACTGCCTGACACAGGATGCATCCTATCTTACAGTGCTAATTGTGTTTAACTTAGAGCGGAGGTTTTAACCCCAGACCCTCTCAGATGGATAAAGCAGGAACATGAACACAGGTGTCCATTGGCCAAGACCTCTCCAGTATGAAAACAGTTTCCACTCAGTGACAAAAACGATGGCTTTGACTGAAAGGTAAAACAAACAAACAAAAAATCCTTCCAAAATACACTGGATACATTTTCTTACTGTGTTAAGGTTAGCTGACAATACCGGTTAATTTTGAAATGTGTAGAGCTATGTTTCACAAAGTTTTGCACCTACATTTACAGAAAATTCATCTCTTCCAGCAAAAAGAACAGCACAGGGGTGGATTTAACTGGAGGAGAGAATTAGCTGGGGAGAGGAACGTGATTTAAAGGGCAAGAGGAAGGGTAGAAGAGATCGTTTTCCTGTGGTACCACCTTTGCCAAGGAAAAAGGAGCTGGTGCATTTAAATATGGGCTTCCTTACTGTAAGAATATAGAAGAAGGTCAGCAGCTCCAGAAGTCTTATGGGAGCACGCCCAAGAGTTGTTTGTGGTTAGTGTCCTGTTGAGTGCTTCTGAGGGGGATATACTTGCAGTGTTTTGTCTGGGTATTAAAAACACACACATTGTGATGCTGGCAGTTGCGCTAAGTCTTGCTGAAGGTAGTGGGTGTAACAACCACCCTTCCTTTGAGTCAAGTGCAAAGTGCAATTAGGCTTTAAGGAATAGATAGCTGAAACAATGGGAGCCACCACCCCAACAAGGGTACATGCAGAGCTGTTTAAGAATGCGTGTGGCATGGGTGGAGGGTTTGATAACAGGCTGTGTTAAGGTGCAGGTGGCTGAATATTGTTCATGTGGGGGAGAAACCAGAAAAAAACATCAGAGCAGCGCACATCAAGAAAGTCCTGACAAAAGAAATACTTGCTGCCTGACTGAATAAAAGCTTAGAGACTTTACAGGAGTCAGGCACATGGAGCTCAAAGCAAGCAAGCAAAGTGCTAGCTGCTCCAGGTACAATGGATCAAGTGTTATGGAGTTGCTCTGAAATCAAAAGGCTTTGTTTCAGAAAAATAATGGTGCCAGGGTCCATCACCTGTCCATCTGCCAGAGAGCAGTGATGCCAAGGTATTGGGCATTGCCCAGCGCAGGATGTGGCGATGCTCAGATGGATCTCCCCAGTACTGCAGTGGCAAAGAAACAGGGATCTCTTTTACTAGCTGTAGCTAGGCAAGTGAATCTGTTCTAGGGAATGCCACTGCAGATTTCAGTGCAGAAACTACAAATAAACAAACAGCAAGTTGAAGGGAAAGGCTAGGTCAGAATAAAATGAGAACCAGGCCCAGCTAGCCCACTCTCACTTTCCACATAGGAGCATTTACTTGCTCCAGAGCTGAATTTGGCAAAGTGAGACTTGCTGTTAGGTTTGGAGGTTTGCATTTTCACTTGATTGCGCAGTCAGTTTGACCACTGTTCAACTTTACACATCTTTCTGATTACTACAGTGTCTCACATGCTCTCTCTTGAATGAGACCTATCTTGTCACCTAAAAGAGCCCAGATTTTATGCATAGTGTATGCTTTGTTAACTAGATTTACCATGTGAATAGGTTACCTGTCTGTGACAGAAAGGTTGTCCCTTACTAGCTTTATTCGAAAAAGACTTCTGGCAATCTATTTATAAACATAATGTTAAGAAATTGCTAATGGTATAGGTTTGGGTTCTAACAGAAACAAAGTTAAAGAACACCTAAAACAGCACCTGTCATAGATAGTTCCTTGGGCTTTAAAGTGCCTGCAGGCTCCACATAATTTCCTGTACAACCAAGTCTGATTTCTATTAAAGTGCTGTCTGAGTCTGACTTGCATTAGTCCCATGAGTGATTGCTAAGTGTTGATTTAGATTCTTCTTACACTTAGGTTGCAGAAAATGAAAAGCAAATGGGCTTAAGGCAAAACTGAAGCTATGCTGTACATCATTTTATTGCATTCCTCTGAACCTCAGCTAGCTCTCCAGTGATGCACCAGCCAGGGTACTGGCTTTTCAGAGCTTTTTAGCATGCATTACCCAGAGTTAAACCTCTGGATTTTCTTTCAACATTTTTCAAAATGTTCTTATATGTAAGAAAGAAGTTTTTAGCTTTCAAAGTGAGAATACAATGAAAGCAATTATTTTCTTTTCCACAAAAAAAAAATAGTGAACAGCATAAGATACCACAGATCATACATGAAACGAGCCTCCTGGCTCATCCAATGCAGTGCCTCACAAGCACAGAGGTAATAGCTGGTTAGACCCAAAAGGTCTACAAATCACCCATTCTGCATATACCACAAGCCACAAAATACTCCCCAATGCTCCATAAGGGCTTGCACACACATAGTACAACCCATTCAAAGCCACGAACTGGTGTGTGCCACAGTTGCGCTGCTGCAGTCACGGCAGCCAGCATCTACCATCTCCTATAATGTTCCACAAGAGGCTAGCAAAGACATCTGAGACTTTTTTTCAGCATCCTAAGTACTAAACACACTGAAGAGCTCTCAAATAAAATGCAAGCAATATATCCTGTCACACAAGGAGTAAGCAATACATCCTATCGCATTCTTCAGTTAGACTTTTGCACTCTGCTTCTCTTACATAGGTTCAAGGAATAGATTTCAACATTATGTGCACACCTTGCACTTGAACATGTACACACACAAACACCTTTCCCTGTGGTGTTTTGGAAATGACTTTTGGATCTTTACGGCACAATGGTGGTGTGTCTTCTGGACTCTGGAGAGCCAGAGGTAGCACCTCTGTCTTTCCTGTGCATTTTAAAACCCTGCCAGCAAGAAGCCGGGGGCTTGGCTGCCCCCACAAGGGTCCATCCTGGAGGCTGAGTTTACTGGTCTTTTCAGTTGCTGCTGAAAGACAAAACTTCTCATCTGTGCTTGAGATGAAGCAAGTTTGGGGTTCCAACCATCTGAGCAGACATGTCTCCTGGGACTTCCAGTGCTCAGATGCACATCTTAAATCCTTACATCTATGAGCTCGTTTTCCTCTCGTGTTCCACTGACAGCCTTCATTTCCATTAATAATTACATGTGAATTGCCAAGAAGATTGCCACTCGTGAAAAAACACCTTCTGAAATTTCAGAAGCAGCTGTGTATGTTCAGTATTACTGTATCTGTGTGCTGCTGGCTGAGTGGCCATGCCCTGTTCCCTGTACACGTGCATAGATATGGAGGATTCATACTTGATTTTCTTATCCTATCAGACTAAAGCATCACATACAGTAACCTAAAAGACACGTGCTGTGGAGGACCCTACAGAAAGTAGGGATGCTTTCAAAATGTTTAATGTTTGGTTTTAATTTTTAGTTCAGCTTAGGTCTTCAATTACCTGAAACAGCTGCATCCTTTTTAGTTTAATACATAGAAATAGCAGCTCCGCTAGAGACCAGAAAGTTAATTCTCTAAAGCTCTTACCAAATAAAGTGGCTAAGGATAAAAAATCTCAGTACTCTTCTGGTAACAGGTAGATGAGAACTTGCTTCCCATGAAGGATAGACTTAGTCTGTTGACGTCCAAACAGATCAGCAGTGTGACATTTGTTTCTCACAGGAAAGTCCTTTCCCTGGAGTGCAGACAGGAAATCCAAAATAAGAGGAGGTGAATACCAAAGGACCACTGAGGGAAGGGGAGGATCAGAAAGAACAGTGTTCGCTTGTTGTGTAGGCTAGGGAAAGAAAAAAGCGTGTGAGAAATCAGTGTTTATTCCTGCATTTTGTGAAGTGCTCTGACTGCAGAATGAATCACTTCTTTGCTGTGAAGCTATAGTACAATCACCGTGCCACCTGGTGAAACCCTGATTTTCTCAAAAAGAAAATGAATTACTGCATTACTTTCTGGGGGAAATATTACACAATTCATCTTATCCAACCAATAATGAGAGGCCCTTAAGTCTGTTCACAGCACCTGTTTTTCTGACTACCAACCACTGAGAACCAGCAACTTCTGCGAAATACTTGATTTCTCTGTCAGAAATTTTGGTACAAACTCAGTGACCCGGTAGTGGGCTAGCATTAATAGCAGCACCCAAGTATTTAACACAGGGATCTTCTGCTGGATATACTTTGTCCAGGCTAACACAGCCCTGTGAAACTGCTGTGCTCTGAATATGTGATGGCACATTACAGGTCTAACATGAGGTGGGAAAGACAGGAGCCAAGCAAGCTTTGTTGTCACCCCTCAAATCCACTGATAGCAGCTTCGATTTGGACCGTTGCCACCCCATCAGCTTCCCCCAGAGCTCAGGACTCAAATGCTGGGCAGCTGCGCCGGCAGTGGGTAAGGAGAGCTAATTGCTTCAGCACGAGGAGCAGAGGAAGAGTGATTCACCTTGTAACAAAGGGCCCTGCAAGGCTCTGCTGTGTGGAGCTACTGAGATGCTCTGTGGCAGTGAGGCTGCAAAGCGGGGGCTCTGAAAGGGACATTCCTCCCATTGCATTTGCTGACTTGAAGTTTTTGTCAGCTGGGTCTTTGGGCTTCGTGCCAGCCCAGAAAAACTAACAAAGGCCATTTCTTCAGTTGCATATGGTCAGGAAAAGAAGGAAAAGGGGAGGAAGAATAAGGGACTGTAATACTTTTAAAAGAGGAACTTCTTTTTTTTTTTTTTTTTTTCAGAGAAGTAAAAATGTCTCATTTATATAGCTTCTGGCTATTGTAAGCCCCAGCGTAATTCTTAAATCTGTGTGAGGTAGCACAGATCACATGGCTTTAACGTAGTACAAAGGCCATGGGAAGTGAGGATAGTTTTGAAACCGAACCTAAAATCCTACTGTGGTCAAAAAGGGAAAGAAAAAAAAAAAAAAAAAGGAAAGATGCAACATTAAGCCCAAGAGAGAATTGCTTGGACTGGATTTGTCCAGCAAAGGTTATTTCCACTCATTTAACATTTTTTTTCCCCTCA